GTCACCTTATTATTGGTATTTTAGATTTTTCCCCCATCTGTTTCACTGACAACGAATGCTTTGGTGACTGTGTTCCGTCTTGGACATTCTATCTTTGACAAATGGTAAATCTCTATGATTAACACATGCCACTTCTGAGTTATCCTGAGAACAGTAAGTTTGTGTACACACAAACACACACACACACACACACATATGCATGTATAATGTAAGAACAGTGTCTGGTGTTCAATAAACACTAGATAGGTATCAAATTTTCTAGGTATAAAATCCTTGAGGCTGCTGAGGTGCCTCAGCCAGTAAATGCACTTGCTGCCCAGGCTGAGGACCCCAGGCCCAGCATGGTGGGTAGCATAACCAAATCTAGCGCACATGTGTGCGCACACACACACTAGATAAATAAGTAGACAATGAAAGGAGGATTATTGTCAGGGCTGTGGAGATGGCACAGCACTTACAGTGCTTGCTAAGAAAGCCTAAGTGCGCACTAGTTCAGATCCACAGAGACCCACACAAATGCTGAGGGGCGTTACAGCTCACCTGTCATCCCAGCCTCAGAAGACAGGGATGGAGACCCTCCAGAGCAAGCCAATTAGTAGGACCGGCCATATCAATAAGCCCTGGGTTTGCTTGAGGAACCCTGCCTCAACGGATAAGGTGGAACAGTGACAGAGGCTCCCAACACCAACTACGGGCCTCCCCATTCACATGGACACAGGGTAGATTAAAACTATACTATACTTTAGCAAGAGGGTATCTCAAAACTGCTTCTTCCCAACCTAAAAGCAAGGAATCATTTTCAGCATAGGTGAGATCCATGTAAATGGGATGTTATATAATATAATGCATTTCTCTTATCTCTCTATTTTAAAAAAGATTCAGTTTAAATGTTTCAGATTTATCATTTGATGTTTAGGAGTGTTCTGCTTGTGTATGTATACATGCACCACGTGTGCATGCCTGATGGCCATAGAGGTCAGAAGAAAGGTATCAGATCCCCTGGCAGTTGAGAGCTGCCACGAGGGTACCTGGACTGAACCTGGGTCCTCTATAAAAGCAAGAAAAGTGCTTTAACCACTGAGCCCTCTTTCTAGCCCCGAAAGATAAATTTTTTATTGTTATTTTAAAATTATGTGTCCATCTATCTATGTGTTGTGTGGGTATGTGCACGAGTGCAGATGGCCTCAGAGACCAGAAGAGTTTCAAGTGGTTCTGAGCCTTCCCATGTGGGCTCTGTGAATCAGACAAACCCTCCGCAAGAGCTGCAAGCACTCTTAACCGCACCCACCGTTAGGATCATGTATTTTTGTTGTGTGTGGTGTGTGAGCATGTGCCACAGAGCTCAGAGGGCAACTTATGAGAGCTGGTTCTCTTTCTCCACCATGTGGGGCCTGGGGATTAAACTCAGGTCATCAGCCTGGGATAAGAGCCTCTACCTACTGAGCCATCTTCTTGGACCACCTTGTCTTTTTTAAAATGAATTAAGCTCAGGAATTGCTTATATTAATAAAGTCAGTAGCATGCTCTTTCAGTTTCTTCTCCTTTGGCATATCTTAAAGGTTAATTAATTTTTTTTCACCTTTCAGATAGTAAATTATCAACAATCTTATTAAAAATGGTGATTCATTCAGTTATTCATTTTATTCTTCAAGAAAGGAAAGCTGCAGGGGCTGGAGAGACTGCTCAGAGGTTAAGAGCACTGGCTGCTCTTCCAGAAGTCATGAGTTCAATTCCCAGCAACCACATGGTGGCTCACAACCATCTAAAATGAAATCTGATGCCTTCTTCTGGCATGCAGGTATACATGCAAACACACATTGTATATATATAACAAATAATAAATCTTAAAAAAAGAAAGGAAAACTGCAATCTACAGACAGAAGATATCTGAAGTGCACGTTTTTTATTTTATTTTTTGAGTCAGGGTTTCTCTGCTTAGCTCCGGTTATCCTGAGGAAGGGCAAAATTGCAAGAGTTAATTCTGTTTGCCAGCTGTACTAAGGAATGCCTAGGAAGCCAAGCAAGGTGCCTGTCATCCTAGCACTCTGGAGGCAGAGGTAGGAGAAATGCTGCAACTTCAAGGCCAAACTACTTTGCATCACAGCTACAGGCGAGCCAGGGCCATGCAATGAGGCCCTATTTCAAAACAGAATAACCAACACTGAGGACAGAGAAATGAGAGATGGCTCAAGCAAGGACCTGAGTTCAATCTCTGGAACCCATACTGTAGAAGAGAGAACCAACTCTGCAAGTTGTTTTGTGTCCTCTACAGGTGCATCATGGCACACGGTACCCGCTCTTACACCCACACATAACACACAACTGCAAAATGTAATTGTTTGCCTAGCATTTGTGCCTGGAGCTGGCTCAGCAGGTCAGAGTGTTCAGCTGCTTAAGCCTGCTGACCTGAGTTAATCCCCAGGACCCACTGAACCCCTGTAAGGAGCCAGATGGCCTGCAGCAAGCTGCACAACAGCAGAAACAAGAGAGACTGCTTTAGCCAGGTGGAAGGCAAAATGGACTCCCCAAAGTTGTCCTCTGACCTACACACACACACACACACACACACACACACACACACACACACAC